TATAGTAGGACTAGATTCTAACCCGTGCGATGCACGGTGGAACTATTATCTAAACATAATGAAACATATAAAGAATTCCCAATTAGGGATAAGATGATAGGTTACAAAACTTCAAATTTATATAAATAGTTTGTATAATGTATACGGCGGGGATCTTTTGACATTGGAATCCTGGGTCATAATTATGACCCGGCCCCTACGGTACTCAGTTTGTAAAATTGATGGTTCCTACCCCCAACTCCTATCCCCTGCCCCCTACCTGTCCACCTCATCCCAACACCACTCAGCCCCCCTTCCCCCATTCATCGATTGGCTATAGTAATTACTATAGCCAATTGGCGAATGAGGAAGGGGGTCAGGGGTGCTGGGATGAGGTGGGCAGAGAGTAGGAACCATCAATTTACGAACGAAGCATCGTAGGGCCATCGGATCATAATATGACCCGAGAATCTAAGGTTAAAAGAACAATACAATGTAATATAAATATGGGAATAAAAATATGATGATAAAATAATTTCAAAGATAAAAATAATTGAATGCAAAAAATAAAAATTAGACAAACACTCTAGAATATGGTAGTACATATCTAGTGATGGTACTTTAGCCCTATGGAAACCCATATAGCCATTACTAAGGTTTTGTTTAATACAATCCAACTCATATGTACTTTTGTTATTTATTAAACTAAGCCCAGCCCAACCCATTTTTTAATTACTAAATATATAGTGTTTTTTCTATCTGTAAAAGATTGCTACATTTTGATTTTTTTGGGCGAACTGTAACACCCTTTGGCAAATTAAAGCTGACAATTAGGGCAGCAGTGATCGGAGGATAGGGTTTGAAACTGTAGAACACTTTTTAATTTACTTCATGAAATGAAATTCACAGAGCAACATAAGGAAAATACCCACCTTCAGCCGTCTCCTATGTTCCCAATGGAGAGAGAGAGAGAGAGAGAAAGAGAGAGAGAGAGATTGCGGAGTATTTGCAAATAAAGAGTGTTTGGAGTTTGGACTTTGGTACAGTGCACCGAAATGATAGGTAGAAACATCTTCATGTGTCCAAGCAATCCCTGGCCCATTCTTTATAGAGAAGATGTGATAACTGATGTGTTTGATTGACCCAAATGTTTGGACTGATGTTAAGACAAAATGGGCAGGAAACAACATATTATGTTCCATTTTCTTTTTATATATAATTTTCTTTTTATATATAGTAGGATACTAAATTCGGACAGATCGGACGAAAACCGATCAACCTGCTGGCCGGCCCAGTTGTCAAGCGGCTCTCTCGTTGAATCCATCCATCAGGCCTCCCTAAAAACCCCGATCAACTCCAGGTACTGCATCACCGTCGGATTCACCTCCGGCGCCGAGTTCTTCCAAACCACAAACCTGACTCCCTCATTCCGTCTGCCGTGCATCTGACCCAGCTCAATTTTTCACAAGTTTTGTCTTGTCGGTGTTTAATAGCCGGATCATAAGATTTGAAGTTCGCAGTGAGTTGCAAATTGAGCCTTTTTTTCTTTCTAGTACTACTTCCCATCTAGAATACTGGGGTTGTCTACTTTTCTTCCTACCATCCAAGCCTTGTGGAAGCTCTGCAGATTGAAATAGTTGTTCTCTATACTTGGTTTCTGTCGAGTTCGGATTGCGTCATAAGTGTCCATTTTTCTTTTTGCAATTGTCTAATGTCTCTGAAGATGTCTTTTAATCTGACATCTTGTGGCATACAAAATCACACAATCTTATGTTTGCAGGTATACACTATCAGGCTTGTGCAAGATGTCTTCAGCTCAAGATCCATTTTACATTGTGAAGGACGAGATTCAGGAATCTGTGAGTTTGTTTTAAGGCATTGTTTGTTTTGTGCTTTATCATGTTTGACTTGGTACAGTTTTCCAACATACCCAATGCTGTATTCATTTCCATTTCCATGATATGGTGTTCAAGGGTAACACATATGGAGTAGTTTATAAAATAATGGTTTTTTTTTTGAAGTTTTAAACCTCCAATTTGGTAGTTTTCCATGGCGTATAATGTTAAGTTCCTATTATACATATACAAATTTTGATAAATTCATATTATATGGTGGTCATATTCATTTTCTGGAATTTATTTAGTAGTAATGCTTTTCTTTATTCATACACATGAAAAAAACAGTTATTGCAACACCCTTATGCATAGAAAAGGGCAATCGAGGTGTGTTGATTTATCAACCCATACGTGTATGGGTATAGTGTGTCGTCATCTTGCTTCTGGTGAGATGTGAGTATGCTATCGGGCTTCAAGTGTGTTCTGTCATCATTTGAGAGTGAAGAGTAGCTTGTTTCAGGCGAGCTCTGTTTCACCAGAAAACTGAGTTCGTATAATTCATCTCTGATAGAAAAGTAAAATCCTTCTTTAATTTGATTATTTCTCATTCTTAAAATGTGTCTGGTTAGATTGAAAATTTGTTCATGACATTCCGTGAATGGGAGCGCACTCTCCCAAGCAATGGAAATCACCTTCGTCTTGCAAATGAGCTTTATGCAACATGTGAGAGCATTAAATGGCAGGTATTATTTACTCACATAGTTATTCTTCAATACATACCTCATTCATCATGCCCATACCATGTTAACACAAGGTTTAGTGTTACCTGAATTTTGTAGTGTGATTATTCATTACATAATATGACTTAGGGGTGCTGTTTTTATGCTCCAGCAAGCCTTTAACTTAAGCGATGTTTCTCTGGAAACTTCATTAACTACAATTTTTTAGCTTGTATTGAATTTGAGTAGCATTTCATTTGAAGCTTCACTGACTACTTTGTTTTTTGATAGAAAGGTAGATGAACTGGAGAGAGCTATTGATGCTGCAGCAAGTGATCCTTCCTGGTATAGAATTGACGAGGCCGAACTTGAACAACGACGAAAGTGGACCAGTGATGCTCATGACAAGGTATCTCTTAAGATCAATCAAAGCGATAGTTATAAATCACCATTATAGTTTGTTTCCGTCCACAAAAACATTTCACATTTTCTCTATTGCAGCCAGTTGTTGACTTGTTCTTGTTGTATTTGTACCATTTGATTCCTCGCCTCTTTTTTGGTTTAGGAATGTAAAAGGGAAGCGAGGGAGGGGTGCGATGCTTAAATGTACTCCCTCCATCCCTATCTAGTGTTCAAGGCTTGACTTGGCATTAGTTTAAGAATAATATGATTGGAGTTTAAGAAGAATATGTACCACACGACTTTACTTCAAAGAGAAAATAAAGACTATTTAGGAACCACCCAAAATATTGAAAAAAGTAGAAAGATAAAAGAGGGACGAAGAAATTATTGATTTATTCTCATTTAGATGGCCGAAACTTGAAAAGAAAGTGAAAATAAAATATGATATAGTGGGATGGGCAAGCATACCATATTACCATCCTGACATTATTCTTTATTCCGAACCGGACTGGCATGGTACTCATTAGAAAGTGGGAAATCAAATGATTCAAGTACATTATAACCCAAAATGAATAGTTCTATTTTCAAAATGATAAGGGATAAAGTTTTAGAAAACAAGAACCAAAGTCTCATACTAAACCCTCACTATTGAAATAAATAAGTAGTTTATTAATTATACATGTTCTTATTTAATTTATTGAAAATTATCTAACTCCAATTCTTTAGGGGCAGCCTTAACTTATAATATTAGTCTCATAGGTTACTTTTTTTCAACTCAATCTATAATGCTTTTAAAGAACCAATTTACAATTACAGCCTATTAAAATAATGATTACGTGATACACTAATTTAGTGGGGGTGCATTTAAATTATTGACATTTTTTAACTTCTTTAATTCTATTGATTGTTATGTTTATTGTTAAGAATTAAATAACTCTATTTACTCTGTATTTTTCAGAACATTAAGGTATGGATTGACATTAATAGATATGGTATGGTACCGAGAGATTTTTGTTGTAAAACCTAAAATTTTTAATATTAATAGTTTGGTATGGATTTTATAAAAATACCGAATCCATGCATCGTGTCCATGCCTAAATAGATGCACATGGTTTAACTAGGGGTAGGACTAAATCTACACCCTAAATGGCAAAATCCATTTCCTCCACTCAAATTTGCTAAAGCCCAGTTTGGTACACGGAATTCAAATTATGGAATTGGGATTGATGACTTCAATTCCAATTCTCGTGTTTGGTATCACAAAAATTATGTGGATTTGGAATTGGTAGTTCAAAAAATGAATTGGAATTGGTGAATTCAATTCTATGGATTTGAATCCCATGGAATTTTAATTCCAATTCAATTCCAATTCTATCAATTCCGTGTAGCAACCAGACCCTAAATTGACTCTCACTCATACACATTATAAATTTGATGTGTATCATCTAGGGAGCGGATTTAGCAAATCTGGATGGTGGGGGTGGATTTAGTCATTTAGGCTATGGATTTAGTCAAACCCTTTAATGAAACATACATTATTTCTAGCCCCATAACTTATGGATAACATTGATAGCTGTTTTTTGGTAATTAGGTGGCCAATGTGAAGAAGGCATTAGTAAGTGCCGGAAAGGAATCAAATGGAACAAACTCATCTAATTTTGCTGGGAAGCGAAGAGAACTAATGAGGATGCCAGACTCCAGACAGGCTGGCAGAGCTGAGCAGTATACTGTTAATGATAATGATGATTACATATCATCGGAATCCGATAAACAACTACTTCTCATAAAGTAATCTCCTTTTTATTTCATCAGGTTGTTACTTTGATTATTGTTATTTTGCAAGTGTCTGTATTTCATCATGATACGTGGTTCTTTGCAGGCAACAAGATGAAGAGCTTGACGAGCTTAGTGCTAGCATAGAAAGAATTGGAGGTGTTGGGCTTACTATTCACGAGGAACTTCTTGGACAGGTTAGTCATACACACTATATTCCTAGCAGAAAGCTGTGACCAGTCCGGTTTATTAGCTGTTGCATTTAATTTAATTTTTTTCATCTTTTCAGAATTTCCTTTGAGCTTAACAACTAAATGTGTAGCTGAAGTGTAAGTTTGGTGATTTTGCAGGAAAAGATTATTGATGATTTGGGTTCAGAATTGGACAACACTTCGACGCGTCTTGATTTCGTTCAGGTAATTATGTCTGATTTTATAGGTTGTCAGTGTATCCCGCACTGTGGTCAATGTTGGTCAATGACAGTGTCACAGCAGTGGTGGTTGGCGGTGGTTCCTTTACTTCATCATCTGAATTTAATGTTGTTCCTTCCTCTTCACTCTCTGCTTTATTTTCTTAAAAAATTAAAATGATAAAAAAATAGCAAAATTTTGAAAAAAAGGTTTTCCTCCACAATATGAAAGCAACACAGACATAAATGAGAAATATCGCTAATTATATGTGATTATTGTAATTTGTCATGTAAGACAAATACTCTGGGTATTGTCATGTTGATGAAGCACAATCACACTTTAGTCTGGATAATGACAACTATTTACCAGACATTGGTAACTCGTCATGGCTAAAGAGTGAGTTGCTAACTAACCAATGCCAACCAACAATGTGGTTCACCGATGAGCAGTGTCTTTCTAAGTTGGGGAGTCTGAACTGCTCTGGTGGCCACTGAGCCGCTGACTTATAGAGGATACGTGTCCATATTGGATACCAACCCCTATATGTTAGTCCTATATTTTCTCTTTTGGTCTAGAAGTACTTCTTCAGTTCACTTTTAGTGAGGGCTAGCTAATATTGTTGCCTTGTTTGAAACTGCTCTTTGGCTGCAGAAAAAGGTTGCGATGGTAATGAAGAAAGCGGGCGCGAAGGGGCAGATTATGATGATATGTTTTCTGTTAGTGTTGTTTATCGTTTTATTTTCCCTCGTCTTCTTAACCTAGAAGCAAACTGCTCGAATATATATACCCTGTATTGAAGAACTTCACAACCTCTAAATTAGGCAAAGGTTTGATTGGTGTACATTGTAATGTAAATTGACCACTTGTGACTGTTTTACTGTTGCTTATCACTCCATACTCAAGTTGTAAGCGATTATGATTCTTCTTCTTCTTCTTCTTCAATGCTGGACTGGGCACATTAGAACAAGAAAAATGGGATTTGGATTTAACATTTTGTACAATATCATCAGGTACTAATATAATTACATGGTGGTGCTAATCTCATACCACGGATGACACCAAGGTTCACACTATTAGTGTTTCACATACAATAAATTTGTCTGGTATTATTCGCCTTTGAAACCAATCAGCTTTGTTAATCCGGATGTTATAGCCATGGCCAGCCATCCTCCAAGCAAAACCCTGGCCGAAGCTTTAACCCTGGGAGCGCCACCAAGTGCCGCACCCAGCCACCCAAAAGCCACCAGAGCGGCAGTGACAGCCCCGACCACCGCCCCAACCCTCACCTTGTACCCCTTTATGAACGACGCCGCCAGCAGCGGAACCATTGCTCCCATTACAAAGGCCACCACCGATGCCGCCGCCGCCTGCGTGGGATTCGCCAGCACCGCGTCCTCGTTGCCGCCACCGTTCTCCTCTTCCTCCGGCGGTGGCCTTTCCGTCTTGCTCCTCTTCATCTGGGCAACCTCCATGTCCCGCTGAGAGTAGACGGAGACAAACTCTCCGATGGCCATCGAACATGCTCCGGCCACCATGCCGGCGAACCCCGTCAGGATCATGGCCTTGATGTCCTGCTTAACCGCTCCGACACCCATCATCAGCGAGGCCGTGGAAACCAAACCGTCGTTAGCTCCGAGAACCGCCGCCCGAAGCCATGGGGCCCGCTTCGCATAATCAAACCCGCCCGCCGTGCCGCCGACCATCTCACTCTTCTTCTCTTGTTGCTGCTCTAAATCATCATTATTATTGGCAGTTTTGGGCTCTTCCAGGAATAGTGCATGGTTTGAAGCCATCATCAAATGGGTGATTAAATGGGCGATTAATAAAACTAATTCTTGGTCGTATATATATTGTGGGTGTGGATTTATATATAGTGGGGAACTATTTATACATTTTCTTTCTCACCTAAGATATACGTACATGTGTATGATATGATTAATTATGTTGGCAGACCATGATTTAGCACTAAAAAAAGTGACTTAAAAGCAAACAACTACACTTTAATTTCTTTTGTAGTATATACTTTCCAAAAATAATGTTGTTATTTTTTCTTTTTAAATTGTTTTCTTTTTGAATTGCCTTGAAATTTTCTCTTATTATATTGCTTTGATAATATATAAGTCTGTCCATTTTATCTTGAAAAAAAAACATTTTGGGACGACAGAATGATATAGCTAGTATTATTGAAAGAAGGAGATGAAGAAGAAACGTATATGAATATCTTTATATCTATAATGCCGTTTGGTATGTTATTGGTTTTAAAGATGAGATCAGAGTATTTATCATGGAGCTAAAAACCATGCATGATTGATGTGTGCTTACAGGAATTAAGGATCAAATACTCTTTTTATTTTTTATTTTTAAACAAACAAACATGTAAAACAAACAAACCAACCAAACAACGCAACAAAGTCAGGAGAGATAACATCCCAAAAACCAACAATAGACTCAATATGTACATCTAGTAAGAGTATGAGCAACAATATTATCAAAATGTACGGGGAACAAAAAAAGTGATAGAAATGAAAGCAAAATCAACCATCATGGTTGAGAGTTCCTCAACCAACGAATCAAAGTACGATTGATTAGAAAAAAGCCTCTTTTTTTGAATGAATAATACAACCCGAAGACAATCAGAACAGACTTCAACCTCGATCTCGAATACCTCTTGACTTCAACCAATGAAAAAGTTGTCTATAAGCTAAAACCTTCTCCATTAAAGGATCTTGGACACATTGTAATCTTGTATTATAATTGAGCTTTGGAGTTAATCTTGATCACGACTCAAGGGTTTTGAGTGCTTCTGACAATGATGATGGACAAAGCCCGTCCAAAAATTTTGGAGGCACTGTGCGAAAATTAATTTTAACTTTTTAAGTTTATATTTAAGACCACATCGTTTTGATGAGGCCCATGTTTACAATTGAAGGGGGTGGGAGATGTCAGTTAAAGGATATATAGGAACCGTCAATTTTTCGAGCGAGCCAACACTGTAAGAGTCTCAATTAGTAGTGTCACCCCTCAAATATTTCTTTGGATTATGAATCAAAAACAAAAAGAGTGAAAGGATTGGTACGTGTAAAATAATAATTGTAGAAATGAAAAGCTATTCAAAGACGTGAAGAAACGTGTCTAGTGATGTACGTAAGCTTGCTTTATTTAAGCTAAAGTGCTATAAACCTTTGCTTTAATTCGTTTTGGGCTGTCAAACAGCACTTCTGATCTCTTCCATATTTAATCATCCAATTCCCTAAATTTATTTTAAAAAAATCATTTTACATAGTGGTGAACTTATATGATTAAACTTCGAGCAAACGCGCTAAAAAAATTTAAGATTGATGTGATCAGACGATTCTTAAATTTCCATTTTAAAAAATTGGAATATTAATTAAAAACGTCCAAAAAAATGAAAAAAAGAGAATAGTGAGAGTTCCGTAATTAAGACATACTTATTTTATAGTTTATACGGAGTACTTAGCTTCCATCTCTATATGCACCCCCCCCCCCACACACGCACACACACACACATACTCCCTCCGTCCCAAAATATTCACAACATTTGCTTTTTCAGTAGTCGCGGGAACTTTTGTTTATTTTGACGTTTTCATTGGTTATTTGATAAAATAAAATATTCTTGATACCTCTTATTTGGAAGAACTTTTCATGTAGTTTTTTGATATGTAAATTTTATTTTTTATTTCTATACTAATTTGTAAATAAAATGAATTGAAAAAACTTGATATTTTGTCTCGGGAATACAAATGTGGCAAATAATTTGGGACGGAGGAAGTATATAAATATGTGTGTGTATGTTTAGAGTATAAAGTACTTCTTTCCTTTCAAAATATTTATCACATTTCGAACAACGCATAAAATTTTATGTCTTTTAAAATTATTTTATTTATAATTAAATAGAGAAATACGGAGTAAAAAAATATTAATTACATTGTTCAAGATTACTTCAAAAGATTAAAAAAACAAGATATACGAAAAAAATATTTTATATTAACAAATAGTTAACAAAAACAAATAAACAAACAAAAAATATTGAAAAACTGAAATAATAACTAAGACATTCTTTTTTTAGAAGGAATACTATACAAAGCAACACACAAGTAACGCAACGTGTCTACTCGGAGTGATGCTTATATAATCTCAAAATCCATATTTAAAATGTAAATTCTCTCTTACTTTTTATGAGCTTTCATGTGTATATTTTCTATTTTGGAAAAAACTCACTTTGTTCATGCTATAAATGCAATAAAATTCATTAAAATCTCAATTTGCGGTCTAACTCCAAGCTGGTACCGAGTAACCAATGAGGTTACGCCACGCACACTTTTTTTTTTAATATCGACCAGGCCTGTGTGGCTAAGTCCACCTACTCTGCCCCTAAGTGTGGGTCCTGCTCTCTTGACTCCTTCCCTCGTTTATTATTGGCGTAAAGTATTTTCTCCCAAAATTCTCTCTTGAATCCTTCTTCTGCTCTCTTTGCTGATAACTGATGATGGACCCTAAATTCGCCGGAAAGTTAACTCCGGCCCCATACATCGTGGGCCGTGCCGGCCTCGACCAGATGCCCGACACCCCCACCCGTCGGTCCCGCCACCGTCGGGCCCAATCCGAAACCTTCTTCCGGTTCCCGCCGGAGTTCGACGACGATATCCTTCTCGACGACGTCGTTGCAGACTTCAACCCCACCGCCGCCATGCAGCCGGCCAATTCTGGCGACTCTTCCTCCGCTGGACCGGATACCCATTTCCGGAGCCTTTCTGTTGACTCCGACTTCTTCGATGGTCTGGACTTCGGCGCTTCATCCGCCGCCTACGGCGGCGGAGCCGCAATCGCACCCTCGTCGGATTCGGAGAAGATGGTGGTGGGTCCGGGCCCACGCCATAGACACAGCAATTCCATGGATGGGTCTTTCTCTACCTCTGCGTTTGAGGCGGATTCCGCCTTAGAGAAGAAAGGAATGAATACTGATAGACTTGCAGAGCTCGCCTTGATTGACCCCAAGAGAGCTAAAAGGTCTGATCTTTTTTATTTCATTTTCCAATAATTGCTTTTTCTTCATTTTCATTAAATAGAATTTCTCAGCAATTGTTTTAGATGCTCATATTTCAGCTATATAATGTCTTCTAAAATACTTACTGAGACATATGTCGAATGCTTTGGGATTTCCATTGTTGATTTCACTCTTCACTTGTTCTTGTTAATCCTAATGGGATGGATGCTGTTCTTAAAAAAGGTTGAATATATTACATATGATGTGCCTAAAATTCTATAGGATTCTAGCAAACCGACAATCGGCTGCGCGTTCTAAGGAACGAAAGACACGTTACACGAATGAGTTGGAAAGGAAAGTGCAGACACTACAGACTGAAGCAACAGCTCTCTCTGCACAGATGACTCTGCTCCAGGTATTCTGGAGTTCACAGCTTTACAATATCCCCCCAGTAATGATCTTTGGCTTTAAAACTTCTTTCAAAGTCTTTCCTTCCTTTCCTCAAATTTAAAGTCAGAGTTTGATATCAACTGGAAACGATTTTCAATGTGTAATGTCTTTTTTCTCTCTTCATTTCTTGCCTATCTTTACTGGTGCAGAGAGATACTTGTGGACTCACTGCTGAGAACAAGGAGCTCAAGATACGGTTGCAGGCTTTGGAAGAAGCAGCTCATCTTAGAGACGGTATGCTACTTTTCCCCTTCCTAACTAAGGCATCGTTTGGTAGCAAGTTCTGGTTTTGCTTATTTGGCTAGCTGAAACAGATGCTACGAAACGATCTTTCTTCTAGAACAAACCATACCAAACGAGGCCATAAGCAGTCATGATTTCTGATTGTGTGTGTTGATATTTTGATGTTGTGTGCACATTGAAAACATATCAGCTCTAAGTGACACACTGAGAGAAGAACTGCAGCGGCTTAAGATAGCGGCAGGGGAGACTCAGGTTGCAAACGGGAGCGGTGCGACTAGAGTACCGGGCCTTCAAAGTTTTGCTCACTTCGGCAACCTTGGAGGAGCCCAACAGCAGGTTCATATCCGCGAGCAGGCCCAGCCCGGATTCCTGAAGTTCAACAGGAGGGGTTGATTGGTTTCAATCTGAAAGGTCTCAAGTCTATAAGTGGTTGTTACCCTGTCCTTGTATAGTTAAAGAGTTGCATATAGTTTCCCTAATCAATCAATCAATTAGCTGTGTGACTTGTAGTGTCTATTCCTAAGAGGTTCTGTTGAAAAGATCATTCACATATATACATCTATATGTACTTATCTTGTTTGTGTGTATATATATGCAATGCAAAAACACAGATTATCAAAAATGATTTATGAACTTTTCTATGTCTAGTGTCTTCTTTTTATGGTTAAATTTAGTTTGGTTTACAAATACAGAAATGTCTAGAAATAATGTCAATTTCCTAGCAGCAAGGAACAGAAGCTTTGCAATGTACAGTTAGAGGTGGCAAAAACATTTCTACCTTCTTTGCCATCTGCTCCAACTGGTGCAATTTCTCTTCTTCACCCAACTCCAACAAAATCCTTTTCAACATCTGGAACACCAGCTCACTCAACCGTCTGCCTCTCTCCACCATTTGCTTAGAACACTCTAATGCCTCTTCAACTCTTCCATGGGAACATAATGCGGTAACTAGAAGCTCCAGCGCATGACCGTGTGGACACTGCCCTTGCCTTACCAAGTAGTTCCACAAACTCAGGCCCAAATCAATGCTATGGTTCTTACAGAAAAACTTCATCAACATAACCACGCTCCGTGTCGTTGGCAAGAACCCTCGTTCGGTCATCTTGGTATACAGCACCTGCACGCCGTGCGTATCTTCTGATCTTATGAATCCCCAAAACATGGTGTGATAAGTTAAATGGTCGTGGCCGATCTTCTTCTCATCCATCTCATCCATTAAAGCTGCTGCAGCTTGGACATCTCGAGATCTGAGAAGCGAACTCAAGAGAGCATTATAAGCACAAACATCTGGTTTTAAATCTCTCTTGGTCATTTCATCAAACAGCTCTCCCGCTTTACTTATGTTTCTAGCAATCCCTGCCCCATAAATCAAGGTTGTCATTGTCTCCAAAGTGGGCACGCAGTTAACACTCTCCATCTCTCTCACCAGTCTCAGCGCATCATCTAGGCGACCTTTCTTGCAGTAAGCATCAATTCTGATGTTGTAAGTAACATTATTAGGCTTGAAGCCTCTTCGGACCATCTCATGGTAAAACAACTCAACTGCAGTTACATTCCCCACTTCCTTGAACCCTAATAGCAGAGTATTCATCGTTTTCGTGTTTGGAGAAAATCGGGAATGAAGCTTGTTGAAGACTGATTTAGCTTCTTTCATCTGTCTTTGAGTGCAGAATGCACGAATGAGCGCGTTGAACTCTTCGGTGCCAAATGTTTTCCCAACAAATATCTCTCTCTCCATCTTCTCAAATGCTTCAAGCGTGTCTTCATAGGATTGGTGTTTCGCTATCCTGGACAACATGATGTTCATGGACTTGAGAGTAAGGAGTGTCGGATACGTCCGCTGGATTTCTTTCATCAGGTCCCACGCTTTATCGAAGTAGCGCATCCTGGTTAATATGTGGACAGTCTTCTCAAATGCGCCTGCAGAAGGGGTGTCTTTGGACCGGAGGAGACAAAACTTGAAGAACTCATAAGCTTTTAGGCCATTAGCGTGTGCTCCAAACAAGCGACCGAGGACGTTTTCCACAAAAGATGGAGACAGGGATGCAGGAGGGATATGGCTTTCAAGAGTAGGCTGCAAGGGCTGATTGGGAAATGAATGTTCATTTATTAACTTGACAATGTTTTCAATCTCACTTGCTTTTTCTGGGCAAGATTGAAGACACCTGATTGATCTAAACCCCCTGTCAAGAACCTGCACAGCTTCGCGAAACCTGTTCATCCTTGTGAGTAGCATGTCTGCTTGAACAAAATGCAATGATTTTAATCTTTTCTTGATAAGCTCCAAGCTGCCATGTCCTGTCCCCATAAAACAGAGTCACTATAGAATCACAATCAAGAGGATAAATGGTTGGAAAAAAAACATGGCATCAAAAGATACAGAGCAGGATGAAAGAGCATAAAAAGATCCTAATTGTGTGATGCCAAAAAAACCATAAGATGATAAATCTACAATAAAGAAATTCCAAAGAAAAAATCACTACAGTTTTCTTCATTCATCTCTACAACATTACGCAGAAAAAAAAATCGATAGTTTCCCCGATTTATACATTTAACGAAATGAGATGAAAATTAAATCAAAATATTGAAAAATAAACACATAAATACATGAAGCTGAATTTAGACATACCAGTGGGTAGCAGAGAAGTTCAGGGCGAAGGAGATGGGATAAAGGAGGAGGAGGAGGAGGAGGAGATTACGCGTCCAAACGACTAAGACGGTCGGAGGACGATGAAGATGTGGCCAGACGAAGACGATGGATGACCGGATCTGAAGAAACGACGGGGCTATTTAGGTAATTTTAAAACTTGATTGGGGTAACAAATGAGAGTTACGGAGTATTTTTTTAATCTTCTACTGTATTTGGGGTAACATAATTTCTACTGTTTGTTTATACTACGTACATTAATTCCAACTTATTTACTTGTGTATTTTAGTTTTTTATACTACATCCCTCCTTTGGTAAAATAATTTTTATTTTAACCTTTTCCGGATTTATTTTCGTAATTTGATTTTTAAATTATATTATTAACATCACAAAAAGAGATGATGCATTTAAATAAATTATTAGATCAACACAAAATGAATGATGTATATTACAACGACTTTATTTGAACATGTTATTCACTTTTTTTGTTAAAGTGAAAGTGTTTTGTTGCATACAAAAAACGAAAGAATAATTGTTTGAAAAATGGAGGGATTAATAAATTGATTTTCTATACATAAATCTTAAACACACAATTTTATATTATACTCCCTCCGTCCCAAAAAGATTTACCCTTTTCAAAAAAATTGTGTCTCACAATCTCCTACCCATTTCTATTAAAAAACCACTTTTACCTCTTACTTTTTCAAATCCTACCTATTACATCATACCTTTTTCCTAATAATCTAGACATCACATCCTACCTTTACTCATCACATCAAGGTATTTTTGGAAAGTCAACACAAAATTATCCCTCCCTTTTAGTCAAAATGGGTAACACTTTATGGGACGAAGGAAGTATTATTCTTAATGTAAAATTGGTTCCTATGTAAAAATGTTTCTGGGACAAAGGGGAAATGTTGTAAATGAAACCATAGCTACATATTTCAATGGTTAGTGCTACATGACAAAGTCATTAAATTGGGCATTCCTTAGCATCATATGTACTATGCTATTATTGGGCAAATGGCATTCCATCCATGAAGGCAAAAGAACCAAATCCCCAAGTCTACATTGATACAATACCATTGTGCCCATCTTCTCAAAGTGTACCAAAAACAAGCTAACAGATTATTGTCTATGGAGTATTCTCATCAAAGAGAACTCGATAAAACCGTTTTCTTTCTTCTGGGTCGAAAATGCCCCCAAGATCTCCGCCGCCTACTTGGTCTTCTCCCTCTTCCAAATCCTCGCCATTTCCCTTCCTTCTTTTCTCGGCTCTTATTGCCGCTGCCATTCCCTTCTTCCTCTTCTTCTCTAAATTCAGCAAGTGGTGCCGCCGGTTGTATTCATGCAGCCCCTCTTGCATCAGCTCTCCAAATTTCTCCTTCACAGCAACAAGTGGATCCTTTTCAATGAGCTCAGACCCATTGTAGGCTTCTCTGAGGAGAACCGTATATATCTGGTACCTGTTTGAAACATAGAAAATGCCAGGATGCTTGAGCAGCAAGGCGTTCAGCTTCTCGGGCAAGCAGAATTCTCTTCTGAAATGGCCTAACTTGACAATGGATGCCTTCTTCCACAAGGATAAGGATAGCAGTTCATGCACTAGCCCAACCGTTCTCTTATCCATATCTACCGATTCTATAACCAAAAAACAGATCATGTTAAAGGAATATAAGCTCTAATACCTTATGGAGAACAGAAATTGATAAATGTATGAACAACAAAGCAGTATAACGCCGGGCAAAACTCTAAAGCTATACAGCTTAGGGAAATGGTTAGGTTGTCACAAGAGCTTAATAAATTATTATTTTGTATTATCCTCAATACCTTTGAGTTCTAAATAAGGTGATATATAAGGGGTGGAGTTGAATTCTTGAAACCTTTCCCATGATTTTGCCCAATTTTCTGGCAAGGAGAACGAAAACCGTGGCTCGTGGCCCCCCTCTTGTGCCACTCTTTCAACTGCAGAGGTGGCGAATGCGTGATTCCACGACGTGAGTTCAATCTCCATTGAGCTTCTCCTCCCCGTGTGGTTAACAGCTCGAAAGAGGTGATTGTAGTTGGGCACGACTCTGAGTAAATAATCATCTGGGAATCCAAAGTTTCTCTTCAATTCATTCAGCTTAGTAACGTTCAGCCTCTTGTCGCGGCTCATCATCAGCAGCTTAGCTAGCCTCTGGGCCATCACAGGCTCCTGCACATCCTTCACAGCCTCTTCCTCTTCGACCAAAGCCACCATTCTCTTGGTGAGCTGGCAATGGTATTCGTCCTTCTCCAGGAAAACTTCAAAGCAACATGGGTACTTCTTGAGCCAATTCAAAGCCTTTCCTTGGAGATCAAGAGTCTTGAACTTCTTCTGCAGGAACCTGACAGGAACAACATGGTTCGGATATCTGAGGATTATGTTTTTGATCTGATTGTTCACTATCCAGCGACGGTTCCGAGACAGTGCAGATTCCAGCTCTGGGTCCTTCTTCATAGACCACAGGGAAAGTCTTCTCCCAAGGTGAAGACTGTGTAGTTCTGTACAAATCTTAAAGCTTCCATCTTTCAAGTTCTTCAAATACATTAAATATATCCGTTTGTCGTTTGACCGCGTCCAATAACAACAACAAACCCAGTAAAATACCACAAAAAATAGGGTCTGGAGAGGGTGCGTGTACACAGACCTTACCCCGGCTTGGCAATACAGAGGCACATCTCAAATCCGCGTGCAGAAGTTAAAATCCAACAGCCATATCTGGCAGATAATATGAAATCTATATATCATTGAACAAAAATATTCACTTTTTCACAGTAGCAAATTAGAGTATTATTGAATGAACGGATTAATAAATAACCTCAAAAGTCAGAAGCAAACTTATTTGGATCGGAATTTGGAAGATCGTCAAAAAAAATAAAAAATTACCAGTTTCATCGTTTATCTGGGCGCAGCTTGGTTCGTAAGAGGGGAATGGATAGGAAGGAAGGACTGGGCGAGTGGAAAAGAGTGTCAAAAAAATGATTTTTTGCCTTCACCTGTCAAAAAAATTGTGTTATTGAAAAAATATACTCCCTCCGTCCCATAAAGTGTTACCCATTTTGACTAAAGTTGAAATTAAGGGAAGGATAATTTTGTGTTGACTTTCCAAAAATACCCTTGATGTGATGGGTAAAAGTAGGATGTGATGTGTAGATTATTAAGAAAAAAGTATGATGTGATAGGTAGGGTTTGAAAAAGTAAAGGGTAAAAGTGGTTTTTGAATAGAAATGGATAGGAGATTGTGGGACGCAATTTTTTTGAAACTGTAAATCTTTTTGGGACGGAGGGAGTATTGACTTTTGGCTTTTGTTCTCCTGTTTTTATCCACATTTGACTCTCTCTGTTCTCCTGTTTTTATTCACATTTGACTTTTGGAACTGTTTATCTAAGCACTTTGACTCATCAAATTCTCTCAATGTGTAAGCCTAAATATAGTCATGTGTGATCTTGTTTGATTTGTCTTAACATATTGATTATTAATATATAATTTCTATAATTTTTTAATATACAAATTACAAGATTAAATGAATTAAAGAAGTGCATTGGATGAAAGTGGACAAATACAGAGGGACGGAGGGAGTACAATATAAAATTTGTAGTTACATTAACTTTAAATCACTATTTTGATATATCAAATTTATAATATTCAATTATTTAAAGTTATCTTTAATTTGCGTTTAAAATGTTACATAGTTTAATAATAAAAAAATAAAGTGTAAAGTTCTTGTTGGGACGGAAAGAGTATATATATAGACAAATCAGTTTTTATCTTTTACTAAATAATATAGTCATGTTATATCTTCTGACATAACTTAAGACTTAACTTTTAGATATACAAATTTTATTTGTTTTTACTTGCACACCAATTTTAAAATAATTTTAATTGAAATATTCAAGATAACCATCATAAATTGAAGTGTCTTTTATTTTTTAAAGAATGGATATTTAAAATCAAAACCGTTACTACACATCAACGATATAATATTATAATTCAATACAACAAGAAGTAAAACAAAGAGAATAATCCATCATCATCTTTCCCAGCTCCTCATCAATGACATAAAAATCAAATTCATGTTCTTTACACCAGAGCAATCACCACCAAAATCAAATTAATGTTCTTTACAGTAGAGTAATCGCCACTAAAAATGAATGAGTCTCCACGGTTAACAATGTGGGAACTTGACATTGAAACATCAATTGATAATAATCACACATCAGCTCCCTTCCCTAAAAAAGGTATTAGATGAAGGGTTAATATATTGTGATGTACTAGTGAGTAAACAATTGTTGCACAATTATATTGATCAAATAATTTGATAATATCTTAGAAAAAATAGTTTTAAGAAAACTATATATGTTCTAATTCATTATTTTATTCTTATTGATGGGTATAACCCATTGGATCCACCCGGCAAGTTCACAATCACCCGGGAGGTACCGAAGTATGTCCCAACCCGACCTTTGGACTCCGGTGGTCTGACCGAGTGGATATCAGGGGTCAGAATAGTGAGATCGCGACTTCATGCGCAGAAATTTAGAAGACTGGCCGGCCAAAGACTGGCTGGGAGAATGCCTTGAGATGAATAGTAGCGATAAGAATTGTTTTTCTATTCTTATAAATAGGAGTAAAAGCCTCATTAAGAAGGCATGCAATAAATAATCCGCACGGCTGTAAACTTGTAAACGGTCACCACATTATTAATAACTAATCGAGTTACAGGTGTTCCCACCTACAGCCCTTACGCTTATTTAGACTTATAGTACACGTTGGTTTTACACCATCACTTATCATAATAGGGGTTGCACATTTCATGTGTATATACAAGTTGGCATAGTTAGTTGTAACATCCGCCGATCGTGAGGTTTATTTCTTGGGTAATTTATCTAAATAGTAATAAAATATAATGATTTTTCCTAATGTAGTACCAAATATTTTTATTTCTTAATATAGTACTAGTGTTCAATGTTCAGTAGTTTTTGTTCAAGTAAATATCCACCGTCAGTAAACATTGTTCAAACTAAATGTTGGTATGTAATACTAGTGTTCAATGTTCAATGGTCATTGTTCAAGTAAATATCCACCGCCAGTAGACATTGTTCAGACCTAATGTTGGTATGTAATATTAGTGTTCAATGTTCAGTAGTCATTGTTCAAGTAAATATCCACCGCCAGTAGACATTGTTCAAACTAAATGTCCGACATCAATGGGCATTGCTCCCGCCACTAGATATTATTCAAATTAGTGAAAGAGGAAATAAGACCTCTACAACTCACCCCTTCAAGAAGGAAATAGGGCATTGCCCGGATCCAAGAAAAAGGCAAAATATGTCAAGGATCTTCAGTCAAACAGGCACCTCCAGTAGTCTTCTCTATTCTTCTTCGACGTCAGCAGCTACAAGCGCACGTCAACCTTCTCTCTTCTTCATCAACGTCAGCAGCTACTAGCGCACGTCAATTTCTCTCTTCTCCAATGACGTTAGCAGCTACCAGTGCACGTCAGACTTCTCTCTTCTCCAACGACGTCAGCTGCCACAGGCGCACGTCAGACTTCTCTCTTCTCCAACGGCGTCAGCAGCCACCGGCGCGTGTCACACTTCTCTCTTCTCCAACGACGTGAGCAGCCACCGGCGCATGTCACACTTCTCTCTTCTCAAAGTTTCCAGTTTCCCGCTAGTGTCCAAGCTTCCTCTTGCTTCAGGCAGAGTTCAACTTGAGGGGGGATGTTAGACAACAATACTAATAGTACTTCTTGTAGTATTGGTTATGGTAGTGTTTCATTATTAGTCAGCTTCCTAATCCTATTTGTAGTAGATGTTGTATGTTAGTTAGTTTCCATTCTCTATTCCTAGTTGTATTAGGAGTCTCTCCTATATATACTCTATCATGTACCCCATAATTCAAAGGAGCAATATTATTATTTCCAATATTTCAACATGGTATCAGAGCCACCAGTCTTGGTGACCAAAAAAAAAGTTCTCTATTCAAATCACCAAAAAAAGTTCTCCACCGCTCTTGGTAATTCCGGCAACAGCGGCTCCACCCTATTCACCTTTATTTTCTTTTTCTTCTTTATCCTCAAATCAACTTCTCCATTCAAATGAAAAAAAAACTTGTTGAAATCACACAAAAAAACTATCAAAAGAGGAACTTCTTTCTTGTCATCTCCATGGTTCTTCAAAAAAAAACCCCCAACTCCTCACAAACTCTCTCAGTTCATCCTACCTTCTCAAAAAAAAAGGAAAAAAATGAGTGTTGTTTCTCTCCAATTCACCATATCAAAATCTCAGACCCAAACTTTTTTTTCCCATCTCCAATTCTTAACCTACTTTTTCTCTCTAAAATCACTCATTCTAATCATCAACCTCCCTTCTCTTTCTCTTTTGTTGAACCAATAAAAATCCAAAGTAAATCAGCACAAAAGCAAAGCAAAAAGGGGAAGTAGTGAAAGAGGAAATAAGACCTCTACAACTCACCCCTTCAAGAAGGAAATAGGGCATTGCCCGGATCCAAGAAAAAGGCAAAATATGTTAAGGATCTTCAGTCAAACATGCACCTCCAGTAGTCTTCTCTATTCTTCTTGACGTCAGCAGCTACAAGCGCACGTCAACCTTCTCTCTTCTTCATCAACGTCAGCAGCTACTAGCGCACGTCAATTTCTCTCTTCTCCAATGACGTTAGCAGCTGCTAGTGCACGTCAGACTTCTCTCTTCTCCAACGACGTCAGCAGCCACAGGCGCACGTCAGACTTCTCTCTTCTCCAACGGCGTCAGCAGTAATGTAGTTATGGTAGAATTCTTATATTTAGCAGGTGTGATAATTATGGAATCCTAGTTGTGTTAGGATGTCCACATCTATATATACCTTATGTAACCCCCTTTATTCCTTGAGTGAAATTCTTATTCAATTATTCAACATGGTATCAGAGCCTGATCCAATTTTTCTCCTCCCTCATCCTACACACATTAAAAAAAAACCTAGCAGTATACCCGATTAGGGTTTCTTGCTTCTGTTCGCCGGACCAGGCAGTCGCCGTCCACCGCCTTCCTTCGTCAGCCATGGCACCACTGTCAACCGATCCCATGGATCGTCTTCCTACTGGTCTCAAGTTATTTGTCCGGAATCTCCAATCTCTTACACCGGCAAAACTTGCTGACACAAACTATCCTTCCTGGTCTGCTACGGTGCGTGCGAATCTCATGGCTCATCGCTTGCTTGGGTACGTCGATGGCACCGAACCAAAACCTCCCTCTATGATATTGGATGAAAAAGCCGCCGCTCCTGCTAAGGATGAACCTCCGATCCTTAAGCCTAATCCTGCTCATGAGACTTGGCTGGTTGTGGACGCTCAACTCCGGGCATGTCTTCTGGCTATCGTCTCTCCAGTCGTGCAAACCCATATCCATGCGCTCCCTACCGCGGCTGATATCTGGAACCACCTAGAGCAGCGGTACAATTCTTTATTTCCTACACATATTTTTCAGTTGAAGGAACAACTCCATGGTCTTCAAAAAGGTAGTGCCTCTATGCAAACATATCTCGATGGTGTTTTGAATATTGTGGCGTCCCTCAAACTCGCACATGAACACATCTCCGAACAGGATATCATACTCTGTGTTCTCCGTGGTCTCCCTGCCGACTATGCTTCGTTAAAACAGAATATTCGGACCAATATTGGATC